CAGGGTCAGACAACATTACGCCACAGTTAATAAATCAGGGTGATGAAAGTCTAATGGAATTATTACACAAAATGCTTACTGAAATTAATAATCAGATACAAATACCAGATCATTGGCGTCTCGGACTTTAGTGCAATACAGTACTGTTTGAGTTGTCTTAAAACCTATAAATGGCTACAGGAACAATAGCAATTTAAAAACACAGTCACTAACACAGGCGAATCGAAAAACACTCACTACACAACTAAAAGAAACAACAAAATCCAGTCAGCTTATTTCTTCTCTGACTCAACATCTCGACAGCCTTCCACGCTTGCTTCACCTCCACATGCAGTCACACCACACGTATTCACACCACATTACCACCCCGGCGACTTTTTCGTTCTTGTTTTGTACAGCAACCAAATATTCAACCAAAATCCCTGAAGAAAACAGACTAAACAGGGACGACAAACTTATTCTAACTCCAATTTATTAAAGAAACTCTTCCTTTTCATATTGTAGAACACATCGATAGTCTTGGATTTATAGTCATCATCCACAAGGAATCTACTTTCCTGATGTTGGTTGTATACCATATAATAAAAAATTTAATAAAATCCTTTATAAAAGGTATATATTTAAAAACCCAATCGGTCTATGTTAAACAAAACGTTTTCGGAATCCATATTCCATCATCAGTATCTAGGTATACATGAATCTTCTTCTTCTTAACATGCCATACACCAAAGTGCGTAGGCGACTATCTCATTACTAGAATTCTGTTCTTGGCGGCGTGACACAGCTCACCTGTATTGTGTATTCCTGTCCATTCTTTAATATTCCTTAACCAGGACAATTGTTTGCGGCCGGCTCCTCTCCTACCTTCGATCTTCCCTTGTAGGATTAACTGTGGTATTTCATATTTTGCTCCTCTCAATATGTGCCCAAGGTAACCAATCTTGCGTTTTTTAATTAATTCAAAAAGTTCTCTTTCCACGCCGGCTCTATTAAGGACGTCATCGTTTCGAACTCTATCCACCCAAGGTATGCGCATCATTCTTCTCAATGACCACATTTCAAATGCTTCGAGTTTGTTGATAGATGTTTTTTTCAAAGTCCACGTTTCCATGCCATAAAGCAAGATGGACCATATGTAGCACTTGACCATTCTGTAGCGTATTTCGAAGTTTAGGTGTTGATTACATAGGAGCGGTCTGAATATGCAGGTCATGAATATACATGAATGCAGCCACTAAATTTGTGGGTAAACACCCGTTAAAAATTATTTAGTTAAATTTAGTTTACATTATTTCTTATAAAATATTAAGATGTTAAAGTTACCGTTAGATTTGGTAACATGGCGACATATCACTCCACGTGAAGTTGCTAGTCCTGAGACGGTGTGTCTACGAGGACTTTATGAAAGCAACTGAAATAAATATATACCTTTTATAAAGGATTTTGATAAATTTTTTTAAAGTCTTTATATTCCAAAAGGGAGACCCAATGGAATGTAACAATTATTGAGGCATTACACTGCTTACTGTAACATATAAGATCTTGTCAAATATGATATACCAAAGGATACAACCGTAGGCAGAGAAGATAATTGGAAAATATCAGTGTGGCTTCTGCAAGGTCTACAATAGACCAAATTTTTATAGTAAGACAAATTTTAGAGTTTAAATCATCATTATCATGCAACCTCTTCTGTCCACCGCTGGACATAGGTCTTTCCCATTTTTCGCCACTCTTCACGATTCTGTGAGTCTTGTTGCCATTTCTTGGATATTCGTTTAATGTCTTCCATCCAGCGTGTTGGTGATCATCCTCTGCTGCGTTTGTCTTCTCTTGGGCGCTAGTCTGCTAAATTCCAGTTCAGCTTGGTTATACGTTCGACGACATCAGTAATACCTGTTTTTTAATAAGAGGAAGAAAGTATTGGTCAAATGTCTTCTCTTTCATAGCCATCGGGATGTTGCTTTTAAAGATGTCTCTTAGTGAACGATATTCCGCAAAAGCAAGTGTTATTCGTCGTTGAAATTCATAGGTCTAATTATCCTTGCTTATTCTCATGACCGAGATATATGTACTCTTTTGTCAATTCTACCACTTGATGTTGGATGGTTAGGTGTTCGCTGGGAACCAAATTTGTCATACATTTGGTCTTACTGATGTTCATTTTTAGACCTATCTACCTTTCACGCAGATCTTCGGTAATAAGTACTATATCGTCGGCAAAACGCAGATGATTGAGCATTTTCCCATTTTTATTCCTCTATTTTCCCACTTTAGCATTTTAAAGACGTATTCAAGGACCGTTATCAATAATATTAGTTAATTTTTGTATTCATAAATATTGGTTTGAATCTTATGAGACAGACTGTACTTCTTGTTTACAAAAATATTTGTCTCGTAAGTGCCTTAGAGACGTTGGGTTATAACCACTGACGTTGGCTTGTCGATCTTTTTAGCTAAAAATTGTGTCAAGACAAAAAAATTAATTATAGCTGCTCTCAAGTCGCTAGCCGAAGTATGTGTGCGATATTTAAAACCCGGTATAAATGAACGATTTTGTAAAACAAACTCTTTTATTTCGTAATTATGTTATTAAATGTGCTATATCAATCGATTATTCCTTAATAATAAAATCAAACATATACTGAATCAACGCCTTAAGGTATGCTGAATTATATCGAAGGAATATCTTTTAACAGTTCCATTGACATAAAATATTTAGTACTGTACTCTCTGAGAGAAGGAATTCAATAAGCTTTCTCCAAATAATTAGTGGATATTACGGCAAAGTTTTCCAATAAAGCCTACGGAGACCCTCATATGGTAAAGGTGATAAAGCTGGATAGGTCATATACAGCACATGGTACCTTCTGAACTAGCGAGAATCATAACACAACAATAAGTGGTAGGAAAGTAATGAAATTTCTGACTACTATTAAAGTAGCTCCTGTTCTCTTGCTTAGCAGCTCTATCTGTTATTCCAAATAATTAAAATTTGGTACACACTATGTACCACGATATAGAGAAATATATCGACAAATAAGATACGAGGTTAAGAGAGCAAAAGAGGACTCGATGGAACAAGGATTTCGTGAGATGGAAGAACTACAAAGAAAACATGACGAGTTTAATATACACAAAAAACTTAAAGAAATTACCTACACTCAGAGAAAAAGAACTCCTCACTTTATGAGAAACTAGAAAGGAAAAATTATTCTCGAATTAAACGAAAAAAAATGAAGAATGGACCAACTACATAAAAGAGCTCTTCCTGGATACGAAGCCACCAGTTAACGCCACAAAGTAGATGAATAATGGTCCTAGTATTTTAAAAGCAAAAGTAGAGAAAGCCATCAAAGAAAGCAAAAATGGGAAATCTCCAGGCCTTGATTAAATACTATCAGCCTGGCTCAAACTTCTAGACGACGACAATGTCTCAGAACTAACAAATATTTACAATCACATATACGAAACTGGAACACTGCCACAAATATGGTTGGAATCTACATTTATCCCACTTTAAAAAAAAAACCTTATACATCATCATATTAAAGACTTTAGACTAATAGAATCAAGCAGAAATGTGAAGACACAATGGGAAATAAACAATTCGGTTTCAGAGAAGGATTGGGAACAAGGGAAGCTTTGTTCTCACTGCTAACACTACTTCAACGATCATGGGAAGTACAGAAACCAATTTACATTTGCTATATAGATTTTGAGAAGGCGTTTGATAGGGTTCAACATGGTAGGCTGTTTGAATATCTAGAAATAATTGGAATAGATGATAAAGATCTGAGATTTTTAAAACATCTATATTGGAATCAGAAGCTTCTATTCTGGTAGACGGCAAAGAAACAGACAAATTTGTATTTAAAGAGGTGTTAGACAGGGTTGTGTGTTGTCCCCAACTTTGTTTAACGTTTACTCAAGAATAATTTTTAACAAAAACACATTTTTAAATAAAACTTGGGCACGGTACTCAAAGAAGAAGAAGAATGTACCACTAAGTGTATAAAACAAAAATACCTACTCTTTAAAAAATCTAACATAAGGAAAAATCGAAGAAAAAATGGAATCCCGATGAAGAAAATCAATATAGGCAAAGTAGTAAATAAAAATAGTTCTCCAATGTACCTTGCTGTACAATTTGGCTTATTTGGAAACTACATATTTAGAAGAAACAAGAGAAAATAGACCCACAAGATAGTACAATAAAGGTACTGGAATATTACGATCATTTAAATAGTTGAAAACGTTTTAGTACAAGCACACCTTGCTACACGTTGAACCGTATATATTCCCTTCGCGAGGATCGAAATTAAACATAGATATCCCAAATTATACAAAACAAAAGAAAACTCACTTAAATATAGTTCTATAACTTCCCATGCAAGCACAAATTGATTTGAAGTTAAACTAGGATATTTTCACTAGAAGAAACCGTCCATTACACCGAATGAGAATTTAGCCCTTAAAAGAACACTTTAATTTTTAAAAAGTGAAATATTCCTATGATTGGATACATAAACATAATAAAAAAAATTATGTTGCACAATCAATTCCTTTTTTAAGTAAAAAGTACGACTTCCAATTCTTCTCTTAAAAGATCACTTGTGTAGATCATCTCGCTTGTTTGTCGAGGTGTATGAATGTGTGGAATGCCGTATTAGTGCGGTGCTAGTGGTGGTACTGGTATTTGCTGTCAGAAGTACCGCCCGCTGCACTCTTCCCGCACCATGCGGCGACTGTTTGTTTCTCAGAAATGCCAAACGCCACCAAGGAAGAACTCCAAAGGCTCTTTGGTTCAATATACTTTGATCGGTAAATTGAAAGCGCTTGAAGTTATTTATAAGTTAATGAAACTAAAAGATGACATAGGATAGCTACATTGTTTTGAACGATAAATTCAAATTCAAATTGAACATTTGTTTATACACAAATATTTTGTTGATTATTTCTGTTGTTAATATAAATTTGATTTGTTGTCTTTGTTTCAGAAATCTTGCATTTGGTGTTGGTATCCAGAACTTTCCTGAGGGGTTAGCTGTAAGTTTGCCGCTGCAGGCTGCTGGTTTTTCAACATGGAAAAGTTTATGGTAAGTTATATTTTTTATAAAAACACGAATGAAAGAGCGAATTGAATAAGGGGATAATTGGTATTTGGTATTCTAATTGCTTTCGACAAGTTTTTCTCTGTGTTAAACAGAATCTTCTATTTATTGAGAAAATCTAATTATTCTTCAAGCATCTTTTAAGTATTCGTTTGTTTTAAAAACTTTTCTCTGTCTTTAGCTGTTCTCATTAGCTGCTCTAAATTTAACCCTGTTCATTGTCGGATGTTTGTTAGCCACGATAGAATTTTCCTTCCTAGTCCACTCTTTATCTCGAACTTCCCTTTCACTATCAGTTGAGCATATTGATACTCATTATTACTTAGTATATGGCCTAGGTATGATGTTTTTTTTTTAAATTTCGCTGTGTTGAAAAGTTCTCGTCCCTTGCTTATTCTGTGCAGTACTTCTTCGTTTTAGGTATGCAATCTAAATGAAATCTCGAGGATTCTCTGGTAGATCCACATTTCAAAGGCTTCCAATTTATTGACCGTTAAGAGTCGAGCAAACGGAGCACTTTAATAAACGTAGTCGAATTTCTGGTTTTATTCGAGAACCACATAGCAGTCTCTTGATTTTTTTGAAATTTTTTACTGGTTTTTTATTCTCGATATTATTTCTAGATCACGATTTAGGCTGATATCGATTCAACATCTTAGGTGCTGGAACTTGTTGACCTTTTCTAAAATGTGCCCGTTTATTATGCAAAATTGAGGAACATTTTGGTTTTCTTAATGTTTATTTTCATACCAAATTGCTCGCAGATCATGTTAGTCAACTCGATTAGTCGTTGTAGACCCAAGTCGGAACCCGCAATCAACACCGTATCATCGGCAGATCTGATGCTGTTGATGTTTACTCCATTCACCTTGACTTCATCCTTGGAATCCTCCAGTGTCTCTTCAAATAGAAACTCGGAATAAAGATTAAATATCAAGGGTGACAAAACACATCCTTGTCTAACTTCTCTTCTTATTTCTACTTCTGTGGACATGAAACCTTTGATAATAACTTTGGCGTTTTAGTTCCAATACAAGTCGCAGTGTTGTGGGTTTGGCTTTTTCGGTATTGGAATGATTATTGATTCTAGCCAGTCTTAGGGTATTTTTCCTGTATCCTAAATGCGATTGAATAAAAGAATAAATATTTCGATGTTTTGTACGTTGATTAATTTCAACGTTTCTGAATATATTCCATCTGGACTTTCCCAGTTTTTTCGTTGTTATTGTTCATTGGTTCTTCTCGTGTGTCGTTAAAAAGTATTTTGATATAGTTTTCCCATTCTTTCAGGATATCTTCGGTCGATTCTAGCAGTTTGCCATCCAAGTTTAGCATGGTGTGTAAGGTTATTCTCTTGTTAATCGATGTGAACTCTTTTACCTTTTTATGTAAATTAAAAAAATGACCCTTTGTTGCAGTTCTTCTATTTCAACACATTTTGCTTCCATCCATTACCCGTTTTCCTCGGATATTTTATATTTTTTTCCAATGATTCTGTTTAGTCTTTTGTATTCTCATTCCTTGTCATCTTTGGATTCTCTTCGTGTATCGATTAATTGTAGAATCTCTTGTGTTATTAATTCCTATTTATTATGTCTGGGTGTTGCTTTTAGGTGTATTTCTATGACGTTGTTCAGTTGCTTAATAGTTCTCCACATGACATTTACGTCATCGGACTCAACAGGATTATGATCGGAATTGATGTCAGTTCCTGGATATTTTTTTACACTGCTGATATCGTTGTCGATTATTTTATCTCCTATGTCATTCTTTACTTCGAGTCCAAAGCCTCCAATCAATCCAGAAACCTTTTCTCTACTTTAAACTAAACGTTAACGTTAACTAAGATTAAAGTTACTTCGTTTTTTGGTTACCTTTATAAGTTTTTGTACTTCAGCGTACCACGCTTCTGACTCTTCCATGAGTTTACTGGCCGAAGTGGTATAAGTCTGAATGAAGTTTATATTAACTGGCTTTTCGGATGGTTGAAAAATAGGCATTGGCCGGAAAATGGCACAAAGTTTGTGACAGCACTTTTATATTTGTCTTCTAAAATTACTTCAACTCCGTTACGATGAACCCGATCAATATTATCAGAGCAATAGAAAGTTTTGTTAATTGTTTTAACTTTATCTGAACCTGGCCATCTGACTTTACTAAAACCCAATATACGTATTCCTAAACATTTCATCTCATGGCATACGTTTGCGAGTTTTCTCGTTTGGAAAATAATTCTCCGGAACTTTCCATGTTGCAATCTTCGTATTTAAAATATTCCTCCCGGAGATTCTTCGAACCTCTTGATTTTGATCTAAGATCTCCCGTGGACTAGGGGTCGTTTCTGTTTTTGCTTTTGTTTAATTTTTCATAAGAAATATTTACCAGATTGGTTTCCCGTCACCTTCTCTGGTTTGAATTTTAGCCGATCCTGTGGATACACACGGTGTTTGCAGCTGCCCACTCTGGGTCAGATACTGCGTGCTAATTTTGGCCCACTCCGGGTATTTCATATCCCGGTATCAACCATATGTGAGAGTCGTTCCTCGATGGAACCCCACACCATATAATCCACCACAAGGATAATTAACAAACATAACGTAGAATGCTCAACGATAAGCTACAACAATTTTATATATCAAAAACCGAAATAAAACGGAGATTAAAAATACCAGTGTAAATGTCATGACCGATGACATGAAACGAAGAACTGATCACGAATATAATAACAACCAATAAAAACGAATAGAGGGAGGCGTATATCCAACGACGCATGGAATAGTTGTTATTGATGATGATTTGCTACTGACAAGTGGAACTGTTCTGCGAAAAACAATATTGTACAGGCTAGTTCTATTGAACAACGAATTAAAAAAATAATATTATAATTATTGAAAAATTAGGCGGAAATCATACACTGGTTAACGATGAATCTTATCTCTTTAGGACGTTTCTACGTTTTACGGATTTCCATTCTACAATATAAATTTTCTGTTTTTATTATTTTCTTATTATGGTAAAAAACAGTTATTTATTGTTTTATATTTGATGCAGGTATGGCCAACTCAGTGGTATGGTGGAGCCAATCTTTGGTGTATTTGGAGCGTTTGCCGTAAGCTTCGCTGAACCTGTTCTTCCATACGCTCTGGCATTTGCTGCTGGTGCCATGATTTACGTCGTAGTAGACGACATCATTCCCGAGGCCAATACTGAGTAAGTAAAAAATGATACTTCTTTAATATTTAACACATTTGGTACAAACTTTTCACTTATAACAGTAGATTCTTTTAAAATAAATTTTTATTGTTGAAATATGTTTTTTATCTTGTGAATATTTCATCTTCTGCGTCTGAAACCCACGTATTATTGATACATGTTTTCAACTGGCTCTCCCTCCTTGTCCTTTTCCTCAGACGAGACACAATTGTCTGTAGTACTGGCTTGTAAGACCGTTGTACCAAGCCTGGTCCTTTTATTAAACTGAACTAAGAAGACTTGTGCTCTTGAAAACAAAAAATTTCATATGAGGGTCTAAAGATTTCTAATGGCTGCAAAAGTCAGAGATTTCCTGTTTTAGTGTTTGTTATATCCATAATTAGGTCCTATCTATAAAAATTTAGTCTTCTAAACTATTATATGTTTAGCTTATTGCCTCTAGGATGTTTATTTCGTCTAAATAGATTTTCTTTTGGTCGTCGCAGCCTTTGATCTATTCTTGGCTGCCACCTGTGTATATTTCTTTGAATCCAACTAGAGAACCTTAAACCGTAAACAGGGAAGTTAAAACACTGATCAGAAAGAGAAAGCATAACGAATGGATGACGGACGAAATTATAGACCTAATGGAAAAGCGAAGGCAACATAAACAACAACGTAATCAAGACAAATACAAACAGATACACAAAGAAATCCGTCAGAAAATTAAGAAAGCAAAAGAACGTTGGATGGTGGAAAGGTGCAACGAAATAGAACAATTGCAGGAGAAAGGAGATAGTTTTGGATTACATAAGAAGATCAAAAAGATTCCGAAAACTTATCAGGGCCATCAATAATGCGAAGTGAAATAGAATATGCAGTTAGAACCACAAAGATGCATAAAGTAACAGGTAAAGATGAAATTAATATAGAAGCAATAAAACTACTAGACGAGGAGAATATCGAAATCTTGGTAAGGCTGTTCAATAGAATTTATGATACTGATTACATTCTGCGAGAATGACTGCAGTCATCCTTTGGATCATCCCAAAAATGCCACAAAATGCAATGAACACCGCTTAATCAGTTTAATGAGTCACTTGTTGAAACTCTTCCTTAGAATATTACACTCAAGAATGTACAAGATACTAGAAGAACTTAGCGGGTCAACACAATTCGGTTTTAAGGGAGGACTAGGAACAAGAGAGGCAATTTTATGTTTGAACACCTTAATACAAAACTGCTTAGATCAACGAAAAGTTGCTTAGTCATACGCTACAGAATGGTCAAGTGCTACATATGGTCCATCTTGCTTTATGGCATGGAAACGTGGACTTTGAAAAAAACATCTATCAACAAACTTGAAGCATTTGAAATGTGGTCATTGAGAAGAATAATGCGCATACCTTGGGTGGATAGAGTTCGAAACTGATGATTAATAAAGACGGCGTGGAAAGAGAACTCTTTGAATTAATTAAAAAACGCAAGATTGGTTACCTTGGGCACATATTGAGAGGAGCAAAATATTAAATACCATAGTTAATCCTACAAGGGAAGATCGAAGGTAGGAGAGGAGCCGGCCGCAAACAATTATCTTGGTTAAGGAATATTAAAGAATGGACAGGAATACATAATACAGGTGAGCTGTGTCACGTCGCCAAGTACAGAATTCTAGTAATGAGATTGGTGTATGGCATGTTAAAAAGAAGAAGAGAACCTTAAAATTTGTAAATAGGGCTGTCAGTGAAGCCTGTTTAATTTTACCTCGGACTCCTTTCTACTCGGAGTCTTACATGTCGTTCTTCTTTATCGAAGATTCGCTGGGAGGTCAGGTTTGGCCAGTACATCAACTTGAGTAATTTTTTTATCTTTTTTAAGACTGATTTTCCTGCTGAAACAGGCACTAAATTACTAATCCCTTGAGGGAGGAAAGAGAAGAAGACAAAAACAGGCTTATATCACCTTCATATCTCCACTTGTAATCTATGAAAAATAGACCAGCACCTGTTTCGATTTAGGGAATTCTTTCCACTCAATTTTTTCTTCTAGAATGTCCGTTCTAATGTTTCGTTTAGAGAGTACGTTCCAACTCTACTACTTCTGATAAATGCAATCCGCTTAGCAGCCTGTGTCGCATCAGTTCTCCCCTGGTAAATGGTTGGAGATTTACCTACCTAAAGTTATTTGGGGATTTCTGTTGTTGTAATAAATGCAATCCGCTTAGCAGCCTGTGTCGCATCAGTTCTCCCCTGGTAAATGGTTGGAGATTTACCTACCTAAAGTTATTTGGGGTTTTCTGTTGTTGTAATGGGCGCAAAGTGGTTTTCAATTCATTTTCTTACCCAATCAAACGTACTTAATTTCACTGACGTCCGTTCACCCAGGTGAGTTATACGATGAGTAAAACTAAGTTTAATCCTTCTAGTTAATCTACACCAGAAGATAGAAACAACACACTTATTAATAAATTAGTCCATCTGGAGCAATCTGCAGATGACATTAAGGGAGAGCGCCCACCAAAATGGCGTGGCACGTGGCAAGTAGCAAGTAGCACGCGTCTAGCATGTTACATCAAATGTAACCAATGCAAACGAATGATTAGATCGAATGACGTCACTGCCATTTTGGTGTGCGCTGAATCATTCGTTTTCATTGGTTACATTTTAATTAACATACTAGACGCGTGCTACTTGCTACTTGCCACGTGCCACGTCAGTTTGGTGGGCGCTCTCACTTATATGTGTAACAGGAGAGAATAGGTATGCGAAACTTAAATCACTTGCTAAACAAATAGGTCTGTTAATAAACACAAAAAAGACTAAAATCCTAGTACAAAGTCGATCGATGTTCACAACAATACCTAACAGTTGTACAAAAACAACTTGTAAAAAGTAGATAAGCTTATCTATTTAATAATTAACATCATAGCAGACAACATTGACGATGCAGAGCCATTTATACTCAAAAGTAGATTATAAAAAATGGAAATAAAAATGTCCTTCTGTTATATTCAGTGGACGAAGATCTTTTGCAATACAATTTAATTGTTGTTTAACAATCATTTAGTTTCTTCAAGATGACAGCTATTTAATTGCAAATTTTTTCAAGAAATTGTCTGTTTTCTTTTACCGAGAATAGACCGAAGAGAACATTTATGTCCTAAGAGACTTGCTGTTTCATTTAAAAAATGAGCTGTCAGTGAAGGTATAATAAAGCCTAATACGAATGGAGGTGCAGCCTAGTGCCTTCAGTAAACGATTATTTTTACACACAATGGGGGTTTTATTTATATGAACCAGCCGCTGTTTTACTGAAGGACTATTTGAAGATTCCAATGTCGATCTTTTAACATTCGCCATTTTAACGTTTTGTCTTACGTGCATAGTTTTGCCAACGTTCACCTTTATGGCTTGTAAAATTGAAGTAGCCACAAACAAACGACCCCTTAGAACTTTCTTCTTTTTCTTCAGTGCCTTATCCGGTTCGGATGTTGGCGATCATCAGGGCTGTCATGGTTTTGTTGACTGCTCTGCGAAACAGCTCTACGGAGGTCATCCCAAACCATTGTCGAAGGTTTTTTAACCACGAGATACGATGGCGTCTAGGTCCTCTCCTGCCAAATACTTTACCCTACATAACAAGTTGAAGAATTCGCTATTTTTCTTCGTTCCGCATCATGTGCCCGAGGTACTCAAGCTTACGTTGTTTCACTAAATTAAGCACTTCTTTTTCTTTTCTCATGCGCCGTAGGACCTTAACGTTGGTGACACGGTCTACATACGATATTTTTAGTATCCTTCTGTAGATCCACATCTCGAAGGATTCAATCCGCTTTTCTGTGGCTTGCGTTAGTGTCCAGGCTTCAACTTCATGTAGTAACACTGGAAGAATGTAGCACTTCACTATCCGCATCTTGGTTCCCAAACTGAGATCACTGCAGCACAGCCAGGATCTCAACTTAATAAATGTAGACCGTGCCATTTCGATTCGGGATCTAATCTCTTGAGCGTAGTCCCATTGTGAGTTAAGGGGTAGTTCCGAGGTAAGTGAATCTGTCGATCTCTGGATCTCTTCGCTACCTGCCATTAGTGCCCTGGGATCTAAATTTGTACGGCTGACAACCATGAATGTAGTTTTCTTAATATTAAGGTCTAGTCCGTATGTTACGCTCACAGTTCTCACTCGGTCTAGTAAGACTTGTAGATCATTTAGGCTGGTTATTAGTAACACAGTTTCATCGGGGTAGTGGATACTATTGATGTATTTACCGTTCACTCGGATTCTCATCTCTAGGTTTGTGAAGGCTCCAGTAAACATTTCCTCGGAGTATATATTGAAAAGAGTCGGTGAGAGCACACAGCCTTGCCTTACTCCTCGCATAATTTTCACTTGGTCGGTCAGCTGGTATTCGACCTTGACTTGAGCATGCTGGTTCTAGTATAAATTCATGATAATCCGAATGTCCTTCTCATCCAATCCTACTCTTTGTAGGGCGGTGACCATCTTCTGGTGCTGAAAACGGTCATATGCCTTGGCGTAGTCAATAAAACAAATATAGATATCGCTACTGACATCGCTGCATCTCTGAAGTAGGACTTGTAAGGTGAAAAGTGCCTCACGTGTACCCATGGAATGGCGGAATCTAAATTGCATTTTACCGACATTTTCTTCGCATTTCTTGTAAATTCTGGCATGTATGATTTTAAGTAAAAGTGCATGACTCATAAGGCTGATAGTTCGGAAATCTTCCCACGTTTTCGCAGATCGTTTTTGTTATTGTTACAAATGTTGACAATAGTCATTTCTCTGGGATATTACCTGAATCGTATATGGCGTTAAACAGTTCAGTTAGAAATATTAAAACATTTCAATTATAATGTAATATTTTTTTTTTAAATAAGTACGTATATTTAATTACAGAGGAAATGGTAAACTAGCCACATGGGGAGCCGTAATAGGATTTTTGGTCATGATGGCTTTAGATGTAGGACTTGGATAACAAACAGACCAATCTTTAGCTTTAAATATGACTCTAGATCAATTTTTGGATTTTATTTGACGTTATTTTATTAGGGAAAAATTATATAAAATTATACAATTTTAGATGAATACTATAGTTATCTATTTTCGTAGGCAGTTAAAGGGCTTAGTAAGTAGTAGTTGATTTTCTATTTTTACATACATATTAGTCTTAAAATGTATACATATATATATATATATATATATATATATATATATATATATATATATATATATATATATATATATATATATATATATATACTATTTAAATTAACAGAATGAAGATTTCAAGTTTTTTATATGTATTAGTTTATAACAAATCGGAAGTTGGCAACATTAGTGGTCAACAAACTTGAGGAATACCGAGAACACTGTTATACTTATACCTGATTCATACAACGAACCAAACACAAAATTTATGATTATTCGTCAGGTTGTATGTTCATATTTTAGGTTGAAGATCAATATCGTAACCCCGACCTTAAATTAAACTGTAGATTTATAATATAGTGTCTCTTCTTTCTTTATTACTGCTGTCTTTTATTTTATATTCCGGTGTGCTATCTAAGGAAATGTATGTCCTTATGTCCATTTCATTCAAGGTTTTCTTTTTAATGGTGTTGTTTATTTCTCAACCCTCGATATTGTCCGCTTTCGCATTTAAGTTATAGCAAAATTGGGGAAAGGTCGCCTCTAAGCCGTCTGGTATTGAGCTTTAGGTTAACCTTTATGCTACAGAGATTTTTTTCTTTATAATAACATAATATTTTTTTTCTTCTTCTTGTGCCATGCTCCATTATCGTGCATTGGCTATCAAATTTTCTATACCAATTTTGTTAACGGCAGCTCGGAAAATGGATTATTTATAATAATACTATGAACGTATCAACGTATCCATTAAGATTTTGCTCTTAATATTAATTTGTTTAGCTATTTTGATTTGTGATAAAACAAGGTTAGCACTAGACCTTTTTATTTTACTGAGATGAGAAATGAGTGAATTTCCCTGTTAAGTTAATGTAATGTAATCAATCGAACTTGATGTAGAAGTTTTTTTAAGGCCTAAGGTTCAAGACCTATTTAGTCAGATGTAGAAGTTATTTTGCAGAAAAAAAGAAGAGGTTAATCTACGTAAATGGGTATATTTATTTAAAAACCCTTAAAAGGGCTACATAAAAAAAACAAACGTTTTCGGACTAAAAAGTCCATCATCAGTTAACTGGAGTTACCAGCTGTAGTCCGTTTGAAGAGGTTTACTCTCCGGACACTGGAACTCACTTCAACCATGGGTGTATGTTACGTGGAGTCAAATTTAATTTAATATTTAACAACACAGTTTTATAACAACATTATGTACAATCTTTTACAACTACATGTAATTTAAAGGGTTTTTACCCTGGTATTTTGGTGGCTCAGGCATTTTAACCTAGCAATTTTAAACCTGATGATGGACTGTTTAGTCCCAAAACGTTTGTTTTTTTATGTAGCCCTTTTACATAAATATGCCCATTTACGAAGATTAACCTCTTTTTTGTGATACGTGGTATACAGCCAGCTACAGGAATTGTTTTCCTTGTAGATTTTATTTTGCAGAAGTTCTGTTGTGGTGATGGGATTTGTGTTAAAATATATGACTGCTGTATGAATAGCAAATGTAGTTGTTGAAATAGGTGCTTGCGTTGCTAACAGCGGTATAGAATAATTAGAGAACAGATTCCAGCACATTTCTTTGGGGAACACCTACTTAAGTATATCGAATTTCTCTAAAAGAGGCCATTCACTTTCTCATTTTTCGTCCGACTAGTGGCGAAGTTGGATCATAGGTTGGATCGAAAATTTCCTCAGTCAGTTGACCTTCGACACCTGTTACGTATAAGTTTTTATGAATTACTTTACGCAAAGATCCTTATTCGCAAATATTTAATGGAAAATAAACTTTCAATTGCCCGAAAATTACTTATTAAAATAAACGATTCTTCATGATTATCTACTTTTTGTTAGGGTAAATCATTTGCCTTTCTGTAGATCTATTTCGCACACTCCCACACAGGTAAAATTTCTAACACTACGGATTGGCTACAGAAGAATTATCAACAAACGAAAATTCGATTATCAATTACGAAAATCGTAGTTGTCAACGAAAATCAACAAATAATTTATTCAGCCAACATTCTTTTTTTCAAATGATAAGGATAACAAGCACAATGCTGCCATTTTCCTAATCCCAATTATATTTTGTGTAGTCTTTACTCGATACATTTTTTGGTTAAGCGATGTACACCGTCGTGAAAACAAACTAAAACTAAAGTTGGACCGCTATTAGGGTAGCAAGTCTGAGCGTGAGTGGAGTGGAGACGAATATCCAACTAGTAGTCCCACTAATGGGACCGCAAGTCGGAACGTGAATGCCCTGCTTAATTTTGTTATTATATTTAAATCTGTATTTATTTGACTTCCGTCAAGTAAACATCGTCTTGGTAGGAAATGAATAAAGTCTTAATTACGATGATAATTAAAAATCCATTATGATCAAATTTTGAAAGTTTAAAAACAATTCAAATCCTATTGTGATAATGTATACAAGTTATACTGTATACAAATTATAATATATATACTGTAAAAAATCGTCCAGATGAAGCTAATATCCACAGACTAAGGCCGTTAAGATGTTCACTTGTCTCCACAGGCAATCGCGCTGCAAAATTAGAGTGGTGTCAAAAATATCAAAACTGGGATGCAAATAATTGGGCTACCATTTTATTTTCCAACAAATATTGTTGTATATTAAAATATACTAATCACTATAAATCAATTATTATTTATTTAAAACAGTTAAAGAAGAAATTACGTCTATTTCTTAAAATATCTCTAGACTTCTCCGACGTGTGTAGATAGTGAAGCTTTTTAAATAGCCCAGGTACCCTCAGACCATAGTGTGAGATGGGTGTACGGAAATATAGAAAAAGACAGTATGCTACTTAACTGACAACATCAAGTGAGACATCAGTTGTTCAACAAAGTCAAGTGCTATTTACTGAGCGTTAAGCAAGAAGCCAAAATGAGCAGATATTATCAATGCCTGGGTATAGGAAATACAAGAAAGAGAAATTCTTAAAATGATCCTACAACAAAATAAAATCCAAATAGATACACTACAAAAGAAAATAGAGGAAGGAAATCACCACAAAAATAAAGTTATATAATATCGTGCAGATGAGGATCCATGAGAAGTAAAAAAACCAAAAAGGGATTAGAGTTCGAAGTGCAAAAAAAAACAAAGTTAAGCGACTCCAGAAAGGAAATACAGTCTCATCCACACAAACAGAGAAGTAAACCAGAAGAGACTAAAACGGCACGTAAACCACTGTCAGTCATTATAAACAAATTGGAAAAATACGACACCCTAGTGAGACACCTATCAGGTAAGAAAATATCTCATCAAACTAGCATGTTAGGAATTGCAAATATAAAAATTAATCTAAACGACGAAAATAGCTACAGAACTCTAAGGGCGAGCGCCCACCAAAGTGGCGTGGCAAGTAGCACGTAGCAAGTAGCACGAGTCTAGCATGTTTCTTAACATGTAACCAATGAAAACAAATGATTAGAATGAATGACGTCACTGTCATTTTGGTGTACGCTGAATCATTCGTTTTCATTGGTTACATTTTAAGAAACATGCTAGACGCGTGCTACTTGCCACGCCACTTTGGTGGGCGCTCTCACTAACAAAGACGATAAATGGCACAGATCTTAAATGGTAGTCGTTTGAAGAAAAACAAAATAGGCCTCTTAAAGTGGTTGCAAGCAAAAATAGATAAAAGAAAAGGACAGATCACCACTGCCATTTTTGGCACTTACTTTTAGTAAAGAGGAAAAACACAAAAAAGTATGTGAAATTACTGAAAGTTTCTGAAAAAGCTTTCAGAAAACCGAAATTTATTCCAGAAAGCAAACAATGTCAACTGTACGAATATACACAAAATTATTGTAGAAGAGATTCTAGATGCGTAAAATACATACGGAAAGGTGATGAAAACCCACAAAATAAAAAACTTAAATGTGTATACTGTGGCAGTTCCCACCCAACTAATTACGGATGTTTTACCCCTGCTATAGCTCTTCAAAAGTTATGGAACAAACAGAAACCTAAAATTACACCACAAAAATAAGGCAGCAGACACGGGAATACTGTACAAAACCAAACAGAGGCTAACCAAATCCAAACATATTATCCCCAAATAGCCTGTAAAGAGCGAAAACAAGTAGTAGAGATAGATTATGATCGATATCAAACTTACACATACTTATAGAACGCATGAACGCAAGAAAAAATCAATAAAAAAATCCTAGAAAGATTAAATAGCATAAAAACTAATAAAAGTTGTAATGGTACAGGAATTGAGAATGAAATAGGCAAATGGCCTATTTCAATATCAACAGGAGATACTGTTTGCCTTAAACAATAAAAAAGTCGACACCTGTTTAATATCAGGGTCATACTTCATAAAACAAACATATACCAATCTGAGAGGATATTAAGCATATCAAACTATTTACCCTAGAAACAAAGTTTGCGAAGGAGCAGCTGTAAAAGTAACAAATAACCTAATTGACTTCTTAAGGGAAAATATAGATACTGAAGTCATTCAGGCAGCTAATATGTGTCAAAACCAAAAAATATGACGTATGACCAAAACATCTAAAAAAAGAAAATTACATCCAGTTGCTCAACAAGAGAACGCTTGGAGAAAAATTTAAATGGATATTGGCATTCAACTAATAAAACCACATATTGGCCTGACTGTGAAAAACAAAGAAAAGTTGCAACAAATTTTATGAAAACATGAGAAGCTTATGGTCCCAGCTCTGATCACCTACCAATACTATCTTATGCTAGAAAAAATAACCCTAATCTTAACCTGCTGATGGTTCCAGCTCTGATCATTCACCACTACTATCTAATACTCGAAAAAA